AAAAATATAGAGTGGCGAAATAGCGAAATAGTTCACTACATTTTTTAAGCAGTAGCTGTAGTCAGTAGCGAACTACCTTTGTTCAAAATAGCAGTAGTTGTAGCTGACTACATATTTTTGAAGTAGCTGTAGTTATAGCGAACTACAAAAATTTTGTAGTCAACCCACCCTTGCAGTAAGCTACAAATGAGCTTTGTATTCCATAGAATGCAAAGTATTTAACTATTTCTAGGTAAAGTTAGATTTTAAGTTGTTTTTAAGAAGTTAAAGCTGATCACATAATCAATCTATTTTTTGGGTCAAGGATATACCCTGCAAAAATAGCACTTTCCATTTATTTTACAACTTGAAATTCACATTCTATTAGACACTAGGGGCATATGGCAGGACTGCAAATTACTGTCGGACATCGGACAATGTCCGACTAAATTTGGCAAATGTCCAAGCAAAAGTAATTTTGATCGGACATTGGTCCGATCACAAAAAAAATTCTACATTATACATTTTTTTTTGCTGTGACAATTAAAATCCGATTGCAAATTCACTCAATTTGCATTTTGCAATAAAATTTACCAGACATTCTAGCATTTTACTTAACGTTGCGCCAGAACGGCTATACATACTTGTCTCGTGACTTATATTATATCTTGTGACGTATATATGTCCGATCATCAAATGTAGCGATGTTGGTTTTTGTCCGACCAAATTCAAGTTATGTCCGACCAAAATTAAAAGTGATCGGACAAATGTCCTGTCAAGTCAAATATTTATTTGCAGCCCTGTATGGGGTACTCATTTCCCAGAATCTTAATTATGGGTATTTAAGGATGAAGTCTCAGTGCTCCCTGTGAAGGGCCCCCTTGACCCAGGGCTGTCCTCAGGGAATTCTTCAGGGGGATGTAAAGTCATTTCAACCGACTGACAAACAGGGCCGCCGAGAGGTTGACGGGAGCCCAGACGAGAAATTTTTTTTCAGAGACCAACAGCCTCCCCCCCCCCCTCCCACCCGTCAACAACTTTTTAGGGAAAAAATTTTCCGGACGAGAACGTTGCAAATGCTTTCCAGTGACTTTACCTCAAAATATTTAAACGAAAATATTTAACCCAAATAGCAGTCCTGCCAAATGAATAAAATTTCTGGGTGTGTCACCCCCCTCCCCCCCCCGTATCTCCGGCCCTACCTTGACCTACTGTTCAGAGTGTTAACAGGGATCTAGCTTTTAAGCTAAAAAAAAATTAAAAATATTAATTAATTAAATAAATAATTAAATAATATTAATTAATAATTATTATTAATTTGTTTATAATAATTATTATTTATTTAATTAATTAATTAATTATTAATTTAATTTATTAATTAAATTAATTATTTAAATTAAAATTTCCAAACACTGCATAAAGGTTAGCCCAGGGACCTTCCTTGACAAGGCACACCCCCTGGGCCCCTGGCTCTTGCCAGGCACAGCCCTTATGCCACTGAGGAGTAACATCTGACCATTATTCCAGCCGGCTTGCTGTACTATTTTCTATTTACTTGAGCATAAAATATCATAGTAGAAGAGCTAATTCAATCATAAAATGTTGAGTTCATAAACCATGATATGCAGGGCAAAGGTACAGAAACGTCTAGTACTCTAGTGGCAAGGGTTGACCAGAGGGTGGGTACAATTGCATCTGACTGATTTCCCAATGAGTATGGAATACTCAGGGTTACCAAGTTAATTGGTCTTGTGGAATTTTTTGTGTATTATGTCTATAATGCCAATGGAGAAAGTGCATTACCACTTGCAGTCTACAGCATTGATTTATTTTTCACAATTCTGCAAACTATTAATGGCAGCTGGCAATGTCACATGCCACACAAGGCCGTCAGAAGCGGGGGGCTTGAGCCCCCCCTATAATTTCCATTTGTATAAGCAAAACACACAAAATAACTAGAAAGGTGCAAAAGCAATTAAAATTTATTCAGATATATTCTTGAGTCCCCCCAATATTGATTTACTTCCGATGGCCTTGTAACATCCTGCCCAGATTTTTTTTAATTCAATAAGGCCCCCCTTTTGATTTTTATACTCCCCTGTTGGCCAAGGGTGTGTACCTCTGTCAACCCCCTCCCCTCCCCCTCTAAACCCAGCTGTATGCTGGGCTGGATTTACTGGGGGGGGTGCACCCCCCTAGCCCTGGTCAGGGAGAGTGCTATTTTTCATGATAAAGCAAAAAAAATATTTTAGAGACAAAATGAGATACAGTAATTTGAGTGATATCGATGACATGATAAGAAGCGAACTGTGAACAACAATTACAATTCAAATACAGTAGTCAAGCAAGACTTGACTTGTAAGTTGATGGGCGGGTGGCATGCATGACAAACATAACTCGGCATTAGAGCTAGCAGATCAAACCCCCCTCCTCCTACCAGATCATGCTGGATCCATCCCTGCCACCATGACTGTTAGTGTTGGTGCTAATTAAACAGTGCAATCTTGAACGGTCTATGCCAGGCTAGATAGAGACGATAACAAGATAACTGCAGATTTCGACAGATAGAACTTAGTACCTGAAAAATTCAAACAGAACTTCACTCGAAAAGTCAATAATTTGTACATTCCGCATGGATGTTCAAGCTCTGTGGATTATGGAATATAAACTAGGCTGTTATTACAATTTTCAAAATTGAAGTTGAAACTATAATTAACAAAAGTTCAGTGTCAAAAATTTCTTATCTTGGCCAATCTATTTTTGACTTTTAAAGCATAATTCACTGAAACATATAGATATTAATATACATCATTAAACTTTTAGTCTTTTATATTAAACAATGTTTGAGAAAAATTCTGTCATAAAATCTTTTTTCAGATTACTCAGATAAAGAATAAGATACCTGGCATTTCAGAATATAAGTTCTACCAACCAAAAAGAATAAAAAGATCAAAAAACAACAATAGAAATTATAGAATATAAACTCCATTTAAACTCGGTAATTGCTAGATAGTATACTTCAAAATAAGATTTCCGTATTTATAACGTAGAAAAAACCATCCTAACACAAATCTAAACCCTAACCCTAATACTAACCTTAACCCTAACCCTAACCCCAACCCTAACCTAACCCTAACCTAACCTTAACTTATTTTAAAAAATGATATAAAAACGGAAATCTTATTTTGAAGTATACTATCTAGCAATTTCCATTTAAACTCCACTCCTTAGCTTGGCGCCATATTGAATTTC